CAGCCTTCCAAGTAGCTGGAACTACAGGCATGCACCACCACGCCCAGCTAATTTTTTGATTTATTAGAGAGATGAGGTCTCGCCATGTTGCCCAGGCTGGTCTCAAACCTGCGGGCTCAGGCAATCCTCTTGCCTCTGTCTCCCAAAGTGCTGGGATTATAGGTGTGAGCCACGGTGCTCGGCGTCTTCAGGTCATGTTTTTACTTCCATATAATCCCTCCCTGGAACAGCTGCCCAAGAGAAAATGGTAATTCTACAGAAAGACATTGTGAGAATCCGCTTGCGAGATTTACCTGTAGGCTTGAGTTTCAGTTCTGTGAGTCCTGACTTCTTTTCTCCAAGTTTGTGCCACGTGCCATTTGTAGACGACAGCCATTCCTCCACAACACAGTGATAGGTGCCCTGATCACTGTCGTCTACACTCAGAATGTGCAGTTGAAACAAGTCTTGGGACACTTTCTCGGCGTGAAATTTTTTTCTCCTTGACGTGTGAAATTCATCCCCATACTTTACAACATTGGTTTGGTTCATTTCCAGGATCCTCAGGCAGGATGCATTTGCAGAGAGGGAAGAAAAATACCAAATAATGGCCAGCTGAATGTTCCCGGTGGCCCGGGACAAGACGCTACATTCTATGTCAGTGTCGGAGCCGATGGAGATCTCTCGGGTTTGACTTCGTGAATTCACTTTGAGCTGGCTCTCTAAATTAAAAGGATGGAAACAGTTACTTTGCTAGAAAATAGAATTTGAAGGTCGTAGAGATGGCAGGGGCCCATTAGGGCCATACCTTCTCCAGCCATCACGTTGGACTCCCCCTCCCGCTGCCCCACTGACGGTTCCCTCCGCTTTTGAACAAGTCACCATCTGACAGAGCAGCCCATTCCATCTTTGGACAGCTCTGCCCCCAGAGAATTCTCTCTGATATCAAGTTGAATTTCACCTCGTCATCTCTTCCATCTGCCGGTCCTCGTCGTACCCTTGTTTGGTAGGGGCTGGAGTGGCAGGGGGAGTGTCAGACAGAAAAGCCCGAACTCCCTTTCCCATGTGACAGTGCTTCAGTGTTTAAGCCCAGACATCTTGCCTGCGCCATTTTACGGCTCAGACCGAGAGAACGTGGCCCTGTGGATGCCATGTCTGTCTGTTCTCTATCCAAAGACCTTCTGGACTCACAGTTGGCCAAACTCTAGTTCTATCTGCCTTCAGACATGGCTAAACAAATGAAGGTTGTTTGGTTGCTGTTAAAGTTGCATGTGACTCTGCAGTGACTCAATGGTGGGAGTGTCATGGGGAGGTGGAGTCAACCGTCCCTCACCCCAGCAGCCCTTCCGTTTTGTCAGAAAGATGAATGATGGTTCTTGTTTCCAAGTCTTATTCTAACTTTCTCACATCACTGATTCTGCTCTTGTAACTGCTCGTTGATGTTGCAAGTACGCTTTACTCTTCCTTTAATAGACTTTTTTTTTAAGACAAGGTCTATCTCTGGTGCCTGGGCCAGAGTGCAGTGGTGCGATCGTAGCTCACGGCAGCCTCGACCTCCTGGGCTAAATGATACTCCTGCCTCTGTCTCCCAGGTAGCTAGGACTGTAAGTGGGTGCCATCATGCCCTAGTAATACTTAAAAAAAATTTTTTTTTTGTAGAGAAGGGGTTAAACACATACTATATTTTCTGCCAGACTACTCCAGGTCCTTTGGGTACCTCCCATCAGTGGCTCACAGTTTAGAGGGAGAGACAAGTACAGGGATAGAGGCTGAGAGATGACAGTATCGTGTTCCCCGTGTGGGACAGAAGTCTGTAGAAGTGGCTATCAGAGCACACAGCAGGATCACCTAACCCAAATCTTGGAGAGAGAAGAGACCTCCCAGAGAAGCAAACTCTGAGCTAATTTTTTTTTTTTTTTGAGTTAGAGTCTCACTCTGTCACCCAGACTGGAGGGCAGGGCCGCTCCCGACCACCACAGCCTCGGCCTGCCGGGCTCTGGCGATCCTTCCGCCTCAGCCTTCCAAGTAGCTGGAACTACAGGCACGCGCTACCACGCCCGGCTAATTTTTAATTTATTGTAGAGATGAGGTCTCGCCAAGTTGCCCAGATGGGTCTCGAACCCGCGGGCTCAGGCAATCCACTCACCTCAGTCTCCCAAAGGTGCGGGATTACAGGCTGAGCCACCGAGCCCGGCTTGAGCTAAGTCTTTATAGGAATCCTTCTGATGAAGAAGGGGCCAAGAAATTTCACACAAAAGAAGCAACATGACCAAACACTTTGAAAGTGAGAAAGAACATGGACTATTGAGGAATGGCAAATAACTCGGCATGGCTGAAGCTCAGATTCTAGATGGAAAGTGGAAGACAAGCCTGGATTGTAAAGGACTTATATGTTACACTATGAGAGGTTGGACATGAGGTGAACATAAAAGAGTTCTGGGTGACTCAGGTTTCCAACTTGGGTCACTGGTGGGTAGCGGGGACATAGGGAACGGTGCAGGAGTAGCTTTGGATAATAACAGTGGGTTTAAAGGCTGGATGAGGTAGCTCACTCCTGTAATCCCAGCACTTTGGGAGACCAAGGCAGGAAAACCACTCGAGGCCAGGAGTTTAAGACATGCCTGGACAACATAGTAAGACCCCATCTGTATTTAAAAAAATTAGTTGAATGCCGGGCTCGGTGGCTCAGCCTGTAATCCCACGCCTTTGGGAGGCTGAGGTGAGTGGATTGCCTGAGCCCGTGGGTTCGAGACCGCCTGGGCAGGCGAGACCTCATCTCTACAATAAATCAAAAAATCAGCCGGGCGTGATAGCGCGTGCCAGTAGTTCCAGCTACTTGGAAGGCTGAGGCGGAAGGATCGCCGGAGCCCAGCAGGTCGAGGCTGCGGTGGCCGGGAGCGGCCACTGCACTCCAGTCTGGGCAACAGAATGAGACTCCAACTCAAAGAAAAAAAAAAAAAAAATTAGTTGGGTGTGCCTGTAGACCTAGCTAATCAGGAGGCTGAAGCAGGAGGAGCACTGGAACCCAGGAGTTAGAGGCTGCAGTGAGGTATGATTGTGCCACCGCTCTCCAGCCTGGGTGAGAGTGAGATCCTGTTTCTAGAATTAACATTTTCAAAAACCGGTTTATGTTTTGACACACTGAGTGCAGACATGTCTCGGAGACAGCTGGATACATGAATCTGGAGATCAGAAGAGAACTCTTCCAGGATGACGGATTTGGAAGTCATCAGCCTACAGGCTGTGTGCGTGGGAAGGGATGAGTCCACCTCAGGAGAACGTGTAGAACGAAAACAGTGCAAAACTAAGGATAAAATCCAAAGAAATAGTTTCCTCTAAAGAATAAATCCATGGTGGAGGTGAATTCCACCAAAGAGAATGAAAAGGAGCTGGCAGCATTAGGAAGGAAACCAAGGAAATCTTGGGTTATGGGGTCAGGAAAAAGTAAGTTTCAGGAAGAGAGAAAATTGAGGGAGCAAATCCCTCAGAAAGGACACATAAGTGAAAGCATGAATCAGTGAACAAGGAGACCATTCCTGCTGCCAAAAACACGGCTCAGCAACAGAGAGCGCAATGAAAGCAACCAGGCGTCAGCATCTGCGTGGCGTGTCAGGCACTAGGCATGCTACAGGGGTCACCACACTCAAACTGCACACCAACAATCTACAGGTGAAGTGACTAAGGCTTGCGCAGATCGACTTGTCCAAAGCCCTTCTGCTATCTGGCGACTGCCTGATCGAATAAGAGAATGCAAGCCATGAGAGAGGACACATGACACAGCAGAACTCTGCTGAGGCAGTGTCTTCCTTTTTCCTCTCTCCTTCCCTCCCTCTTTCTTTCCTTTTTAAAATTTAATTTAATTAAGAATTTGTGTGTGTGTGTCAGCGTCTCACTCTGTCGCCCAGGCTGGAGTGCAGTGGCACGCTCACGGTCACCGCAGCCTCGATCTGCTGAGCTCAGGCGATCCTCCCACCTCAGCCTTCCAAGTAGCTGGAACTACAGGCATGCGCCACCACGCCTGGCTAATTTTTGGATTTATTGTAGAGACGAGGTCTCGCCACGTTGCCCAGGCGGGTCTCGAACCCCTGGACTCAGGCGATCCTCTTGCCTCGGCCTTCCAAAGTGCTGGGATGACCGGCTTGAGCCACCACACCCGGGCTATGTTTTATTTCTATAACTCAGTCTAAAGGGGAGGAATTTTGTTGCTGCTGTTTGCTTGTTTGCAAAGCAGGGATTAATTTCAAGTGGCGTTTACCTGGTAAAGTGATGACTATCCTCAGTGGGTGAGAGGTGGCAGAAGCCCTCACGGGGCCATGGGTGTGTAGGGAATTCCTGTCATAAACGTCCACTTTACACCGATACACTCCTGTCTCTTCCTCAGTGGCATCATGGATGAGGAGCTGAGAACGGAATGGAGACTGTGACACCTTGGTCTTCTTCTGGAACTGGGGGAGGAAATCCCCCCACTCAATCGTGCCGTTGTGAGTGACCCGAATAAGCCGATGGAAGCCTTGAGCCCTCGCTGGCTGGAACTGCCAAGTCACAGTGAGCAGCACCTTGAGGTCAGAGTAGGCGGCCCCCACTACGCAGGACAGGTCAAAGGCGTTGGTTAACTTCGCTTGTGGCTGACGGCTCAGCAGACTCACTTGCAGACTTGACTCTGCACACAAAGACAAAACGCAATTTCTAACATGTCTACCCAATCAAAGGGCGGGCCTTTCAGGCTTCTCCCGTTGTCACTTCGTCATGTAGGACCATGTGTTTGTCCGTTTGGAGAATCACATTTTTTCGAAGAGAAGTTGATTAGTGTTGTCAGTCCTGAACTCCAACCTCAGCTTTGCAAAGTGCTCTTCTAAGATGGTTCCAGCAGCAACAACAAAGAGGCATTGCCTCTCCGGTCCACGACCAAACAGCTGCTGCGAGTGGGAGGGCCCCGAGTGGAGGCTCCAGGGGTCTGGCCTCCCCCTTTGCCCACCCAGTATCAGAATCCCAATCCTTTTGCACATGCGCAAAGAGGCTCTGCCAAGCCAGGGCTGCAACTCTCAAACGCCAGAATGTACAAGGCTCGGCTCACTCTTCTCTAAGTCGACTCCAGTTCATAGGATTTTGTTTGTAACCCTGAACAGTAACTTACAAGTTGCACTCAAAAGGTAATCTTCATATACGCTTTTTTTGGAGACAACGTCTCCTTCTGTTGCCCAGGCTGGAGTACAGTGGCACGATCATGGCTCACTGCAACCTCGTCCTCCTAGACTCAAGGGATCCCCCCACCGTCTCAGCCTCCCAAGTAGCTAGGACTTCAGGTGCGCACCACCACGCCTGGCTAATTTTTATATTTTTCGTATAGATGGAGGTCTCGCTATGCTGCTCAGGCTGGTCTCGAACTCTTGACCTCAAGCAATACTCCCACCTTGGCCTCCTAAAGTGCTGGAATTACAGGCTTGAGACACTGAGCTCAGCCGAATGAAGACACTTTGAAGAGTAATTGACAGATACAGGAGCTGGGGGCCATGCTCTGTGTCCTGGGATACACATACTATAATCGGGTGACTCGGGATGACGCACAATTAAATTCCTACAAGTTCAGAAAAGGATTTCCTTGACACTTACCCAGAGATTTTACAGTGACTGATATCACCTGAGTCCAGCTCAGCTCTCTGGCCTGGCTCCGGGTCCCCTCGGACACTCTGCACTCGTACATGCCACTGTCTGTGACGGTAGTGGAGGTGATCTCCAGCTGGAAGGTGGCCCAGTCCACTTTCTCCAGCCTCGTGTTGCCATGGTGACTGGGTCCCCCAGAGGAGGCCCCCAGCTGCACGACGCCATCCTGCCCCATGCCAGCCACAAACTCTGGCTGAGTCCGGTCCTGTGGCAGGTGCCACCAGCTCACGGCCAGAGGGCTTTCAGCTCCACCAGCCTTGCAGAGGAGGGCGAGCGCCTCTCCTTCCCACACAGCTTGCTGCTTGTTCTTGGTCGACACAACCACACTTCTTGCTGCGGGTGACAGATTTTAAAAGAAAAGAGTGCTTCAAATAAATGGAAAGTGTTCTAAGGTGCAGTGAAATCCTTTAAGTGTTTTAAAAATTATCATTTTTTTGTAGAGACGAGGTCTCACTATATTGCCCAGGCTGGTTTCAAACTCCTGGGCTCAAGCAATCCTCCCACCTCGGCCTCCCAGAGTGCTGGGATTACAGGTGTGAGCCACTGCACCTGGCCTAGTGAAATCTTATTAGTTAGGACTTGACTAATTTGTGACAAATCACATCAGGCTGTTTCCTCCTGCACCAACTCCAGACAAAAGATTTGCTCAACATTTAAATAGTGGAAACAAAATAGCAGAAAGAATGTCAGGAGAACCTTTTTACACTTAGACAATTTATAATTTGCACCTTTTAAAAAAAAATCAGTGTGTTAAATCAGCCCTTCCTTAAGCATATCTAATTGGGTAAACATCTAATAATATTTTGTTTGGTTAATTAGGGTGGATGCACAAACCCGAAAGTAATAAAGCTGTGTTCATTTAAAGTTTTGGTTTTTTATAAGTCAGACCTTCAGAGTCCAAAACAACCTTCCTCTTCCTCCTTATCTTTCCCTGACCAATATTAATTGGTTTAGTATGTGTTCTAAACAGGGAAGAAACATGGTTTATTATATATCTGTTCACAATACTACCATAAAAAAATAGTTCCAGGCCGGGCTCGGTGGCTCAGCCTGTAATCCCGCGCTTTGGGAGGCCTAGGTGAGTGAATTGCTGAGCCCGCGGGTTCAAGACCCACCTGGGCGACTTGGCGAGACCTCATCTCTACAATAAATCAAAAAAATTAGCCAGATGTGGTAGCGCATGCCTGTAATCCCGGCTACTCGGAAGGCTGAGGCGGAAGGATCGCCAGAGCCCAGCAGGTCGAGTCTGCGGTGGCCGGGATCAGCCACTGCACTCCAGTCTGAGTGACAGAGCGAGACTCCAACTCAAAAAAAAAAAAAAAAATAGTTCCTTAGAAGCCAGGCGTGGAGGCTCACATCTGTAATCCCAGCACTTTGGGAGGCTGAGGGGAGAGGAGTACCTGAGACCAGGAGTTTGAGGCCAGTCTAGGCAACATAGTGAAACCATATCTCTACAAAAATTAAAAAAAAAAAAATTATCCAGGTATAGTGATGCACACCTGTAGTCCCAGCTAGTCAAAAGGCTGAGGCAGAGGGATCGCTTGAGCCCAGGAGGTCAAGGCTGTGGTGAGCTGTGATTGTGCCACTGCACTCCAGCCTGAGATCCTGAGTCAAAACAAACAAAAAAAGTTTCTTGCGGGGAGGGAGGGAATATATATATATATGTTGGTAAAAGGACAATTTGTTTCTGAAGTACAGTGTAAAACTACAAATGTAAATCTGGCTCCCAGATGAGAAATTCAAGTCATTCATTCCACAAACACTTATTGTGCAAGGTTTTGTCCTGGTTGCTGTGTGGGCAATGCATAGATCCCTGAGCAGCTCGTGCATTCTGGGTAGTTCAGCATTATGTTTAAGGCCAAGGACCTTCTTATAAAATGAAGGTAACAACAGTACCCACCTTACTGCACGGTAGAGAGGACTGAACAAATGGCACTTGCTAGGGTCTCAGCCTGGACAGCCAGAGACCGTGGTCAGTAACGGTTCGCTACAAGCATTAGTGTCTAATGATAGACCCTGGCGAAAGCAGAGGTAATTCAAAGCAAAATAAAAAAACAAAATAGACCTAGCATTAGAAATCTAAATATGATCTAAATGAATTTGCAAATTGCTCTTCCCTGCTGAGAAAGGACTTCAGTCTCTGACTGTTTTATGCATATATATACATAAGTTATAAAAGCAGAAAGAAGGTTAATATTCAGAATTCTGTTAAAAAAAAAAGCAAGTCTGCTTTCAAATTTAATTTGAAAGTTAAAACAGACTCATGACAAGTTTAGAAATTAGAGGGGAAATTATTACTCATAACCTTACCACTTTAACATAACCATTATGATATGTTTCAACTAACATCTTTTTTTCTTTAAATGAACTTTCCTCAGTACATTGTGGTCATTACTGCCTCTTGGTACAAGCAATAAATTTGCTGTGTGTGTGTAAGTTACACATTCACAGTGGTAATGGGTGTCTCCTTCTGTTTAAAATATTCACAGCACGATAAAACTCTGCTCATACTTCAAGTAATGTTTGACTCTCAAAAGAGAATGCATATTAAACAGGAGCCTTAATAAATATGCTAATAACGTTTCCTGTTTCTACATGTCAGGCCCAGTCTGGACTCCAACCTATTCAAAGAGCTATTTTTAGTTCTGGAAGACGACCCTATCGGTGGGATTCTAAGCTGTGAACCCTGCAGCACACCTCTGGATCTCTGTGGCACAAATTCCCACGTACCGTGTTTAAGAAAGGCTGCAGATAGGTCCTGGGGCGGGGGAGGTTTACTGAGAGGCATGCAGCAGAGATTTATCTGTGGGTAAATATGTAAACCTGCCTATGTTCTTTTCCGGAATCCTAGAAAGCGAGGCCAAACGTTTAGTGTGAAAACTAGCATCAACACACTTTCTGGCCTGCTGCTCTGGGCCAAAGCCTGTGTGTCTTCCTTCCCAGCAAATGGGGTGATGGGAGAAGAACATGGAAAGGAAACATATCTATCTTTGGAGATGACTCTAATGAGATAGTGCAATAAAGATGTCTTTATTTTTAGCTCAGTTCTTAAAATTTAAAGCATTTTTTAAAAAATGTTTGCTTTTGGGCAACTAATCTTTCTAGACTTTGAAGGGAACAGCACGCAGCCTAGCAAATCCTGACATTAGCTGTGGATTTGTCTGTTTCTTGACACACAAAAAACACTGGTGATTCAAATAGGCTTAAGGGCACCCAACCTTCATAAAGTAAAGGTAGGCTGAGCAGCTTTCTCAGTTTCGTGCAGGTAGACACTCAGAACCGTCTGGGCTGGCGTCTCACCCCGTCACGGCAAAGGCAGGGAACGGAGTCAGCCCACTATCAATTGCTTCTTCATTTTTACTGTGAGTGGAATTATGATTATTTCCCATATCAGGTTAACATAGTAGGGACTTAACAGAAGGTGATTGAAAGACGCCAGCCTAGCCCATCGAAACTGGACTGGATAAGAAAAAATGTGGTACATATACACAATGGAATATTATGCAGCCATAAAGAAGGACAAACATATGGACTTCGCAGCGACTTGGATGGATTTAGAGTCGATCATACTCAGTGATCTGTCACAGAAACAAAGAACAGAGTACCACACGTTCTCACTCATAAGCAGACCCTGAATATTTGTCACAATACTATAAGAAAGGGATTGGCAGCCGGGCTCGGTGGCTCAGCCTGTAATCCCGCGCCTTTGGGAGGCTGAGGTGAGTGGATCGCCTGAGCCCGCGGGTTGGAGACCCGCCTGGGCAACTTGGCGAGACCTCATCTCTACACTAAATCAAAAAAATCAGCCGGGCGTGGTAGCGCATGCCTGTAGTTACTGCTACTTGGAAGGATGAGGCGGAAGGATTGCCGGAGCCCAGCAGGTCGAGGCTGCGGTGGCCGGGAGCGGCCACTGCACTCCAGTCTGGGCGACAGCGTGAGACTCCAACTCAAAAAAAACAAAAGATCCTCTAGTTGTGGCCACCATGACACAGATGAGGAAACTGAGCTTTAGAGACGTGAAGTGGTGTGTCTGTGGCTACACCCTACTTCCTGGACTCAGGTCTCCAGCTAGTCTGCGTGCTTTATTCCACTCTTACCTCCAGTGTGACCTGACGGACACCCGGCTCTTCAGGAAGACCACCTCGTGTCCACGAAGACATCCTCTGCTAACAAAGGGGGAGACCTGAGAGCACCCCAATGCACGCCTGGGTTTCACATACCTGCTGGCTTCCGTAGATACACGTGGCTCTCCGGTGACTGCTTTCTCTGAAGCAACTGCCAGGAGCCCATCCGAGTTCTCGTCACCTCGGCCACCTCACATTTGTAGGCACCTTCATCCTCTGAGGCAGCAGAGAAGATCTTGAGAGAGAAAGCCTTGGGGCCTAACTTTGACACTCGGAGCTGTCCTTGACTTGCCCTGTCTTTGTAGCTGTTCTTCAGGTCCAGGACTCCACCGGCATCAATGTGGGCCATTTCGATCTCATTAAAGAACCAAATGCCTTGAAGTTGTGGGTCATGGCCGGCGCCCACAACCAGGCAGAGCAGTTCTAAGGGTTTCCCTTCAGCAAACGAGCTGTCGGCTGTAATGTTGACTTGAAAATCTTTCACTGGGAAACAAAAGCAAGGCAGGTATTTAGAGAGTCCACTGCATCTGCCCTTTTAATACCATACCAGAGAGAGGGCCGGGCTCAGTGGCTCAGCCTGTCATCCCAGCACTTTGGGAGGCCGAGGTGAGTGGATTGTCTGAGCCCGCGGGCTCGAGACCCACCTGGGCAACTTGGCGAGATCTCATCTCTACAATAAATCAAAAAATTAGCTGGGCGTGGTAGCGCGCGCCTGTAGTTCCAGCTACTTGGAAGGCTGAGGTAGGAGGATCGCCGGAGTCCAGCAGGTCGAGGCTGCAGTGGTCGGGAGCGGCCACTGCAGTCCAGTCTGGGCGACAGAGTGAGACTCCAACTCAAAAGTAAATAAATAAATACCAGAGAGAGACCGTATCCCCTGTAAGGATACCACAGGGATCACATTTGAGGGGGGAACTCAGTTCTGTGGTAGCAGTTAAGCCAAAAAATCCCTGGAGTCAAAATGTTCATGACTATTCCCTAAGTCACCCAGAAAGGACAGCACACATGGTGTTCCGAATGCAATCCTAGTAAGCAAGATGTATGCACAAATGTTTGTAGTACACAGCTATGTAGGCTTTTTAAATTAAAAAATAAAATATGTTACACTGAATTAAATATTTTATATCTACTTCACATAAATTAAATTAAATACTTTATGCTGAGTTGCTGTAAATTGTGATTACTTGCTCTCTCTTTTTTTCTTTCTTCCTTTTTTTCTTGGCTGAGAATATCCAATGGAATTTTCCTAAGTCAAAAAGTACATGTGGCCAGGTGTAGTAGCTCATGCCTGTAATCCCAGCACTTTGGGAGGCTGAGGTGGGAGGATTGCTTGAGCCCAGGATTTTGAGACCACCGTGGGCAACATGGTAAGACCTCGTCTCTTCAAAAAATAAAAACAGTAGTCAGTCGTGGTGGTGCATGCCTGTAGCCTCAGCTACTTGGAAGGATGAGGTGAAAAGATCTCCTGAGTGCAGGAGTTGAGGCTACAGTAAGCCATGATTGTGGACTGCACTCCAGCCTGGGGAACAGAGTGAGACCCTGATTCAAAGAAAAAAAAAGCACATGTGATACAGTGCCATAAGGTCCTCTGAGTATAACTTGGATACTTGAGGCCAACAGGACAATTTTTAATGGAGCAGAATAACACTCTTCTTAGAAAAGAAACACATTTCAGAGATCCACCTCTGGATCATTGCTTTTAGCAATGGGAATTCAGCATATGATCTAACAACCCTTTCCTGTTGGACAGACCAGGAATCACAGACAAAGCCTTTCTGCTTGCTTTGACAAAGGTGCCAATGGATCAAGTGACGTCATTCCAAACTGGAAAAGGGGTAAGGTGGAAGGAAATCCCAGCACCGACAAAGACAAGGCTTTGTGTTGGAAACTGAAACTGCTTTGAGAGCAGGCCTGCCCTTGAATGCCAGCCCCCATCTCACTGCTGGGTGAGCTTAGGTAGTGCATGGAGCATGTCTGGGGCTCAGGATCTTGCTTTTAAAAATCAAAATGAGCCAGGCGTGATAGCGCGCGCCTATAGTTCCAGCTACTCGGAAGGCTGAGGCAGAAGGATCGCCGGAGCCCAGTAGGCGAGGCTGCGGTGGCTGGGAGCGGCCACTGCACTCCAGTCTGGGCGACAGAGTGAGACTCCAACTCAAAAAAAAATAAAATAAAATAAAATGAGGAGTCGATTGGAAGTGGTGGCTCACGCCTGTAATCCCAGCACTTTGGGAGGCGGAGGTGGAGGATTACTTGAGCCCAAGAATTCGAGACCAGCCTAGGCAACATCGTGAGACTTCGTCTCTACCACAAAATAAAGAAATTAGTCCGGCATGGCAGCACGTGCCTATAGTCCCAGCTCCTTGGGAGACGGAGGCTGAAGAATTGCCTGAGCTCAGGAGACTGAGGCCGTGGTAAGCTGTGATCATGCCACAGCACTGCAGCCTAGGCATCCGAGTAAGACTCTGTCTCAAGAAATGAACAAAAACTAAACAGGTTGAAAACGAAGTAAATAAATAAGAAGTCACTTACGTGCCTCAGAGGCTGGTTGTTAGAACGAGGGCAGACAATGTAGATAAGATGCTAACATAGTCTGGCAAAAACGGTCATAAAACGACTTCCCTGACTGGCCTATGGGATCGAGCGAACCGTTTGACCGATCTTATCCCATCAGAACCTCCTAAGGACAGAACCAAAGTTCAGTGTCCTTCCTCTTAGTCACGCTTCCCAATGACGACAACAACGTTTACTCTGCTTTCCAGTCCATTTTTTTTAGAGCCAACAAAAGATTGGAAAAAGATACCCGACAGGTACCCACCATGAGCGAATGAATGGATTTCCTGGGAAGATACTTACCTGCCGGCTGGATCCTCAGAGTGGTTTGATCTGTCTGCTTTTTTGTGATGGACACCCAGGTTTCATCCGGATCCTGAATCCACTCCATGGCCTCACAGAACAGGCGACCCTGATCTGAGGGGCGGAGCCTCTCGATGGACAACCTGAAGGTGGTGGCCCCCAGCTTCCCGAGCCGGACGTCGCCAGCGGCAAACCTCTCGGTATACAGGGGCCCGGGAACCAGCATAAAATCCTTGGAGAGAGAGAGAATCTCGGTGGCCGGGCTTCCTCCTCCATCCTGTATCACGTACCAGGTGACAGAGAGGTGCGTGTGTTGAGCTGTGACTTTGGATGCCTCGCAAGTAAGTTCCAACGGCTCGCCTTCCTCCTTACTGAGAGTCTGAGGACTCATGGTGGCCGAGAGGGTGTCTGGAATAACTGGAAACAGGGGAAGGATCAGAGTCTGACTGGCCGGCGCTTGTCCAGTCAGCCTCCTTCGGGGACGACGGTGCCCTGAGCCACCATCTGCAAAGCACACCCTCTGAGTTGTGGTCCCACTACCCGTACGCTTTTTTAAAAATATTTATTTTATTTTAAAGAGGTGGGGTGCGATCCAGGATTAGGTATCCAAGTGGTCATCATACAGGCCAAGTTTGGGCCTCCCTTTGGTCCCCACTTTGCCTGGCCCACATGCTTTCTTATCCATATGGTTTTGCTATTGCCAACGGGAACTTTGGCATCGATGTGTGTGGAACTTGGCAAAGCAAACGGCTCACGGATGTGTTGACCCTGACTTTGCTTATTAGCTTAGGCTGGGGCCAACTTAGCTACTCAGACAGAGTACATATGTATGTTTGTATGTATGTATTTGAGTCAGAGTCTCACTCTGTTGTCCAGGCTGAAGTGCAGTGGCACGATCTCGGCCACCTCAGCCTCATCCTGCTGGGTTCAGGCCATCCTTCTGCCTCAGCTTCCAAGTAGCCAGAATTACAGGCATGTGCCACCATGCCCGGCTAACTTTTTTTTTTTTTTATTGTAGAGACAAGGTCTCACCAAGTTGCCCAGGCTGATCTCAAAATGAGCATGTCACTGTACTCCACTGGGCATCAAAGTGAGACTCAAAAAAAAAAAAAGTACTAACAGGATCATGAGGAAACAATGGTGGGAATATTGTCCACAGAAGAGCCAAGATCTAAACTGGGTGCTGAAGTATATGTAGGAGTTTGCTAAGCTGCAAAAGGGGGGATCGGTATTCCAGGCAAAGGAACTAAGTGACAGTCACGAGGACTTTGGCCCTATCCCCACAGCTAAATATGTAGAGAACGGTGGTATGAGAATAATAATATATAGGTATAATTTTTTTTAATAGATGAGATATCACTGTGTTACCTAACCTCGTCTTGAACTCCTGGTCTCAAGCAGGTTTCTCACTTCAATCTCCCAAAGTGCTGGGATTACAGGCATGAGCCATTGCACCTGGTCCAGAGCACGTATTTAAAGAGAGAAAACTTTGAGAGGTAGAAGACCTAGATTCTGATCCTAAATCTGTCCCCGTCTGACTACACAAATTTGGATACATCACCTCCTCTCCCTGGGCTTTAACCTGCTTCTTTATAAAGGATCTGTTATAATTTGTCATTTGGAGACAAAATGCAGCCCTTAACCAAAGTCTAGGTAACTATCTCACTATCCCGCTGGTTCTTTTTTCCTCAAATGAAATCACACCGCCTGAGCTTCTGAGAAAACGTTCTGTGTGGTGAAGAGGTTTATGCAAACGTACCCTCAGAGGTCAAGGAGGCTGAAAGGCAGAAGAGAGTCTGTCAAATCAGTTTCTCAGAAAGAAACGTTTCGCAGTAACTTACAAATAGAAGCCCTATCCTGTGAGACAGTGGATTCCCCAGTGTTACCCTTCAGACTCACACTTACAGGACACAGGGAATTTGCCTAAGGGCGGGATTTATGGAAAGTACGTGTTTACCATAACAGGATTTAAGGTGAGTACATGAAAGTAGACGTCTTAGAGGTATTCCTGGAACTGGGGTTAATCAGAAGTCAACATGGTGATTAGCATCCAAGATGGCGTTGCTTTAACCTCCACCGAAAGCGACACTAAGATCTGATCAATGGACAGTACTGAGCGTCTATCTACTCAGCGCTAACTACTGTGCTGGGAGCCGAGATGAGCTTCCTCTTCTCAAGCAGCTCCGCACGTGGTGGGAGAGAGGCATACAGATAGTCCGCTACCCCGTAACTGCATAAACATGAATAACAGTGGTGCTGCCGGGTGCACCTGTGATCCCAACACTTTGGGAGGCGGAGGTGAGAGGACTGCCTGAGCCCTGGGGTTTGAGACCAGCCTGGGCAACTTGACGAGACCTTGTCTCTATATCATAAATCAAAAAAATTAGTCAGGTGTGGTGGCACACGCCTATGGCTCCAGCTACTTGGAAGGCTGAGGCAGAAGGATCGCCTGAGCCCAGTAGGTCAAGGCTGAGATGGCCATGAGCGCCTGGGCATCAGAGTAAGACTCTGACTCAAAAAAACAAAAAGTGGTACTAACAGAGGATCATGAGGAAACAATGGTGGGAATACTGCGCACAGCAGAGGCAAGATCTAAACTGGGTGCTGCAGTATCTGTAGGCGTTTACAAAGCTGCAAAAGGGGGGATAGATAGTCCAGGCAAAGGGACTAAGTGACAGTCACAAGGACTTTGACCCTTTCCCCCCAGGTAAATATGCAGAGAATGGTGGTTTAAGAATATTAACATATATATGATATAGAGAGACGTATAATTTTTTTAATAGATGAGGTGTCACTACATTACCTAGACTGGTCTCGAACTCCTGGTCTCAAGCAATCCTCCTGTCTCGGCCTCCCAAAGTGCTGGGATTACAGGCACGAGCCACCATGCCTGGCCAAGAGTAATCACTTCTAAGTTAATGACTGATCACCGATGACACTAACACCAGCTCTCTTGCAAGTTACTGTTCTGTCTCCAAGCAGAAACAACACAGGGAGAACGCGCATGGCTTTGTCTAACACTGTTGCTCTTACCAATCTCTGGACGGCCATGGACGGAGGCCTTGGGAAAACTGTACACCATCTCCTCTAAGTTTTTTCTTTAATTTTTACAGTCAGTATTTTTTTATTATGATATTGTGGGGTACCGTTAAGGGTTAGGTATACAAGTATGCTTCATTCGGGCACCCTTGTTGATCAGGGGTGTCTCCCCGTCCCCGGACAGATATTCACTACCGTTAATCCCATTCCTCTAGGTCTTTAAGGCCCACATCGTTGACAAAAATGAATGGATGGTTTTGGAGCACATGAGAGACCCACTTGGGACAACTCTCTAAAGCATCCGGAGGGCAAGGCGGGCTAAAGGACAGAACAAAGCCACACCCCCCTCCAAGGCACCGCGAGGGCGAGGCTGGCGAGCAGAGCTGGGCACAGCTTACCGGTCAGACGAGTCTTGGCACTGTAACTCCCGTGGTACTTCCCGTCGGTGTTCGGCGTGTGACACTCGTACTCGCCGGCGTCCTTCATCTGGAGCTTCGTGATGTGCAGCAGGACGGAGTGGCCCTGGATCCGCTCCACGGAGACGTCCCCACTGCGCACCCGCTGTTGGTATATCGCGTAAGAGAAGGTGGCATCGTTGGTGCTGACCACCTGAACCTCACGGGTTGGAGCTGTCAGCAGGTAAACAGACCACCGGAAATGCTGCTCGGAAGGGCCCTTGTAGCCAGTGACGTTGCAGCCGATGCTGACGGGGTATCCTTCGGCGCGAAACAGCGGGCCTCTGGGAACCGTGACTTCCCTCTGGCCAGTGCCGAGTTTAGCTGGCAGTGGGAGAAAGAGGGGGATAAAAATAGATGAGCGCCCCAGTTCCCAGTGCTGCACTTCAGGTCGCTCCCTCTGTTGCAATTCCGGGAAATGAGAGCGCAGGTTATTAGCTACCGTCCACTCCATGCTCCACAGCTTCTCCAGGCAGAGCCGCCGTGGGACGGCTGGATGAGCTCATTGTCTTTTTATAACTTGAACTTTCATAGGAATCTTCACTCTCTTACAAAAAGTTAAGCTTCGTCCATGTAACATGACCGCTTCTGTAAAACATCTGCCAGGCATGGTGGTTCACGCCTGTAATCCCAGCCCTTTGGGAGGCGGAAGCGAGAGGAATGCCTGAGTCCAGGGGTTCGAGACCAGCCTGGGCAACTTGGCGAGACCTTGTCTCTATAACAAATCAAAAAATGAGTCAGGTGTGGTGGCGTGCACCTGTGATTCCAGCTACTTGGAAGGCTGAGGCGGCAGGATTGCCTGAGCCCAGCAGGTCGAGGCTGCGGGTGGTCGTGAGCAATGTGCCATTGCACTCCAGCCTGGGTGACAGAGCGAGACTAAAAAAAACCAACCCCTTCCCCCCAAAAAACTGCTTATCTAAATGTATCTATTATTATTATTATTTAGTCAAGTGTCACTCTGTCACCCAGGCTGGAGTGCAGTGGCACGATCACAGTTCCTCACAGCCTCGACCTCCTGGACTCAGGCCATCCTTTCACTTCAGCTTCCCGAGTATCTGGGACTATAGGTGTGTTCCACCACACCTGGCTAATTTTTTGAATTGTTTTTGGGGAGAACTCCTGGGCTCCAGTGATCATCCTACCTCGGCCTCCTAAAGTTCTGGGATTACAGGTGTAAACCACCACACCCAGCAGTTCACTTCGTTTTTTTTTTTTTTTT